GGCGGGGGGGTGGGGGGTGGGGTGGTGGTGGTGGTGGTGGTCAGTACTAGGGTTTGAACTAAGGGCCTCTCATGCTTTCTGGGCAGGTGCTCTACCACTTGAGCCACTCCACCAGTCCTTCACTGTGTCCTCACAATCTGGAAAGCCTGAAACCCCTTGCCCCCTGGGCCTTGGGGAGTCACTGCGAGGTTGCAGAGCTCATACTTGATCCAAGACTCCTCATCATCCATGTCCCGGAAGAATTGGTGCAGGCGGTGGGACTCGCTGAGCTTGGCTCGCCGGGAGGCCGCCATGCTCTTGATCTTCTGGAAGCGCCCGTTGATGGTGTCCCGCTTCTCCTTCACTTGGGAAGTGTCAAAGGCGCTGCTGGTCATCAGGCTGTCTGCCTGGCTGTTCAGGTCTTTCAGGCGATCCTGGGGGAGGAGGCAGATGGGAGGAATCAGAAAACTGGGTCTCCCATGAATGGCTGCTTGAAAATGAGAACTCAAGAATTCTTACTGGGAGCTGGGTGCTGGTGGCTCACACCTGTAATCCTAGCTACTCAGGAGGCAGAGATCAGGAAGATCACAATTTGAAGCTAGCCTGGGCAAATAGTTCTCGAGACACTATCTCAAAAAACCCATCGTAAAAAAGGACTGATGGAGTGGCTCAAGGTGTAGGTCCCGAGTTCAAACCTCAGTACCTCTCCCACCTCAAAAAAATAAAATTCTTACTGGGGTGTGGAGCCTTGTTGACTTGAAGTGTCCTATGTGGACCCATGGCACTCAGGGAGGTCAAAACTATTTTCATAATGACACTAAGACACCATCTGCCTGTTTCCCTGTTTGGACACTGGCACTGATGGTGTAAAGGCAAGGGGTAAGGAATGCCGGTGCCTCAGCATGCAGCCAGGCAGCAGCAAACTGTAACTGTACCCACAGAAACCTAATCATTGCCATCGGCCTGTAGTAAGAAATGCCACTTCACTTAGCAATGATCTTTACTTTTCTTTTATAATACTGGGGTACTGAGCCTCAGTCTGGCCCTTCCTTCTTCCTACCTCCTATTCCTTTTTGCTGTACTGGAGTTTGAACTTAAGGCTTTGAGCTTGCAAGGCAGGAGCTCTACCACTTGGCGATACCCCCAGGCCCCTTTAGCTTTGTTTTTCAGGCTAAGGTCTCACATTTTTGCCCAGGGCTGGCCTAAGACCACAATCCTACCTAAGGCCTCCTGTGTAGCTGGGATGACAGGTGTGTACCACTACACTCAGCTTATTTGTTGAAATGAGATCTCACTAACTTTTTGCCCAGGCTGGCCTCTAACCTCAGTCTGCCTAATCTTCACCTTCATCTTCTGGTATGAGACTGAGTCTCACAGGTGTGAGACAAAAGGTCCGGCAAGAATGGCCTTTATTTCTTCTTTTTTGTGCTGAGATCAAATTCAAGACCTTGCATGTACTCTACCACAAGGCTACACTCAGCTCCAAACACATTTCTTTTAAAAAGCAGCAAAAGTTAATTTTATTAAACATTCACGCTCTTTTACTTGAAAAGGCAGGCAAAGTATGGTCTTTGATCCTTAGGTATCCAACAGATACTGTCATGAATAATAAAATGAGCCTGTCACTTCAATGAAAACTGACAGTTTATTGCTAAAGATAAAATTCAAAGATCTGGGGAAAATCAGAGTTTTGGAAAGTTTATATCCATCATCATGAGCTTGTCAGCTTCCCAAACCATAACAATTTTTCTGACAAGATTTGTGGTGATATTAATGAAGGTGACATGAGTTGTGTAAACATGTAGAACCAACGTATGTAACTCAGCAAACCAATATTTACCAACTGAGCCGTGCATAGAGTGGGTAACAGAGCCATTCAAAGTTTGAGGTGGACAAAGGGACTTTCATGGTTCAGTATGAAAACCTGACTGATAAAACTCCCACTTACGGATGCTGGTACAGTCACAGTGCCTTCACAGTGAGCCCAACTAAAATGCCCCGCTGGGACACTGCACTGTCCTCATAGACAACACACATCTGAACTTAGAAACAGCCACAAAAACTCATGTCTTGGGCTGCTGGAGTGGCTCAAATGGTAGAGAGCCAACCTAGCAAGCATGAGGCCCTGAGTTCAAAATCCAAACCCCAGAAAAAAAAAAAAAAAAGAGTAATCCCCCCATGTCTCTCATTAAACTGGACTAATAATTAAAGAGATTCGCAAAATTGCAACAAATGCCACACTTCTCATTCTTTTTTAAAAATAGTTGTTTTGGTTTCTTGCAATGGGTTCTTTCAATATAACCCAGGCTGGCCTTGAAACTCTTGATCTTCCTGCTTCAGCCTTGAGTACTGGGATTATAGGTACAGGCTACCACATTCAAGCTTTATTCTTCTTCCTTTTCATGGAATACTGTTATCGTTCATATACATGTTACTTATATTACAAAACTTGTATTGTTTATTACTATTTGAAGCACATTAATATTTAAAATTTTTCATTTTCAATCTTAATTTTTTACTGAGTTAATTACACATTATAAAATGACACAAAACAGTACAGGTTCTGTGTATTCTTCCCCAGCAGTAACAGCTTTTATAACTATAGTACAACATCAAAACCATGAAACTTTCTACATCCTGAAAAACAAACAAACAAACAAACAAACCAGGAAACTTACATTCGCATAAGCCATTAACGTTATAAGCCTTATTTATACGATATCCTTCTTTTTATTTTTTGGTGCTTGGGATTGAACTCAGGGCCTCTTGCTTGGTAGGCAGTTGCTCTACCACTTAAGCCACACCCATAGTCCTTTTGCTTTTAGGTTTTTAAATTTTTTCCAGCTAGGGTCTCATGCTAACCTTGCCTGGGCTAACCTCAAATCCCAATCCTCCAACCTCCACCTTCTGTGTAGGTGGGATTACAGCAAGGTACAACCACACTCAGCTGGTTTGCTGAAATGGGATCTTGCTAAGTTTTTGCCCAGGCTGGTCTCAAACTAAGATTCTTCTGTCTCTGCCTCCTGAGTAGTTGGAATTACAAGCATGTATCACAAGCCTAGTCCCACCAATTTTATGCACACATTTGCATGCCTCTGACTGAATGCAGTCCCATACATTCTGATCATGTGTAGATTGCTGTAATCAGTGCAACCCCTTTACATATGCAGCCCCCTCTCATCTTTACCCCACAGTCACAAAGCTGTTCTCCATCTCTGCAATTTTGCTATTTCAAGAATAAAGATACAGGGCTGGGCACTGGTGGCTCACACCTGTAATTCTAGTTACTCAAGAGGCAGAGCTCAGGAGGATCGAGGTTCGAAGCCAGCCTGGGCAAACAGTTCAAGAGACCCTATCTCGAAAAAACCTTCATAAAAATAGGCTGGTGGAGTGGCTCAAGGTAAAGGCCCTGAGTTCAAGCCCCAGTACTGCAAAAAAAAAAAAAAAAAAAAAAATTAAAGATACAGGATCACTTAAGACTATAACCTTCCAAGGAAGTCTAGTTCATGTAATTTTTAATGATGGTAAGGACTATGGTAAATAAACTTGCAGAAACAAAATCCCTAATGGGCTGTGGAAAATTGTGACTATAATGGCTCCGAGACCACCATGTCTGAAAGCCAGATACCATTCTCTTTCTCAAACCTTCTAGCTGTCCCGAGGCCTGTGGAGTTCAGTTGCTGCCCCTCTGCTTGCCTCACAGGCTGGCCTGCCCTACTCACCTCATGGGCTGATATGTCAGCCTCCAACAGCTGATGCTTTTTAAGCAGGTTGTTCACAGAAGCCAGATCTTTGCCGTAATCTTCAGATGCAAGAAGGGCCTCCACCTGGGGTTGAAAATGCAAAAGAGAAAGGCTACTGGTTTGGTGCACATAGAAAACCCAGGATGCCCAGCTTCTTCTTGATCATGAATTACTGTTATGCCTCCTGAGCTGGGTCCATCTGCCTGGCCTGCCACTCTCCTCCTCTACCAATCCAGTGCAACTCAAGAGCTTATAAATTCAAAGAGAAGGCTCTAGGCCCAGGCTTCATGTCTTCCCTGTGCCACAGGGCAGAGAGCATGGCCACCCCACTGTGGTGCATCTTCCTAGGGCAAGGCTCAGCAGTGTGAGCCAGACTAACACACAAAGATGTTCACTGCACCAAAAAGCAAAGAATACTCAAACCTCAAAGAATCTGGCAGAACTCTCTGAAGAACTTACCCAGGCACTAGAGTGTTTGGGAAGAGTTTTTAGTGACTGTGACACTCCCCCTACTAATGAAAAATTCCTCTGTGAACTCAGCTATGTAAGATATGCCTCTAAAAATATTCATGGAAGTATATAGAGACTGTAAATATACTTTAAAACGTTGATAGTTGTGGTCTCTAACAATTTCCTTCTGGTCAATACCCAAGAGCATTAACACACTGCACCACATGTTCTCTGTCCTCTTCCGATTTCCTACATGAAGGGAGACTCACACACTCTGGCTTCCTGACTCACTGCTGTTTTGGTTCTTGGAGTAGGGTGTTCAGAGATGCCTACCAGCCAGACCCAGCCAGACCCATTTCTTCCCCTGCCTGAGGTCCAGGTGCCACCCAAACTAGCTCTCTTCTCTAAACATCCCCTCTTTGCTCATACATCCCTTATGGCACACAGTGGGTATCTGTGCTGAGGATCAATTTCTGCTGAAAGGCACCTCAAACTGAGTCCTGACTCAGTTTGGGGCCTGCTGACTGGCTAGAAACGCCATTTGTGGGAAGAGAGAACCACTCTGCATTACCTCAGACAGCCAGAAGTCAAAGTCTTTGATTCCAGTATTGAAATTCTGCTGCTTGTTGGCCTCTTTGAGCTTCTGGCTCTTTTCAGCTGACTTCTGCACCAGGAATTGCCACTGGTCAGCCAGGGCAGCCAGGCGGGCCTGGGGAAGAGATATGACCCATTCAGGATGGTAAAGGCTATGAAGGACCCTTCCCCTAAAGCCCAATTTGGGAACATCTAAGAGGAGATGGAGATATTCACAGGAGCCATCTGCCCAGTGTTCCCATCTCTAACAGCCCAGAGCCTCTAAGCCCTTTATGCTTTCAAGACAGTCTTTGGAAGCACCATCCAGTGGACAGCAGTGCTGCCATTCATTCTTCCTGGGTCAGCAAGAGTCCTGGGGTGGTACCTTGACAGCGTCCTCACTGCCGGCACAGGCTCCACGCTCAATGAGGGAGTTGCCCATGTCGATGACTCCACGGATTCGGTCGGCATTGGCATGCAGCTCTGCCTCAAAGGCCTGGTGCTTCTGGTGTTTGCTCTGAAAATACCAAATCAGTGTTAACACCCAACTCTTGCAAGGCTGTCTTTAAGGCAGGGGGTAAGGCAGAGTGGAAAACCTGACAGAACTAGGGCAAGTGTCGTGTTTACAGATGTCAATCAGGGTATGTGAGGCACCAGGGTGGGTCTGTGGGAGCTCGGCAGAGGGTATGGGCCCAAGGAGAAGGGACATGCACCAGCTCTGGAGCAGGCACAGAAAGGCAGTTCTGAAAGCAGCTGCAGCAGCTGGTTGGGGACAAAGCCTTAAAGTACATCCTTTTTAGTATTTCATAGAAGATGCAATGCCATTTTCGGGATTTTTTTTTTCAGTGGGGAGAAGTACTGGGGTTTGAACTCAGGGTTTTGTGCTTGTGAGACAGGTGCTCTACACTTGAGCCATACAACCAGACACCATTTTCAGTTTTGAATCCACTTGTATGTCAATGGTCATCCACGGCTTTGCCCTTATTGGCCAGAAGCTCTGCCCAATACCATGCACAGGGGTTATCTCATCACCTAAGGCGGAAACCCAGCCATCAGTACATTGGATGGCTGGTCTCAAAGAAACAATCTGTAGCTGCCACAGACCTGGGCTTTGCTGGCCTATCATTTTGTAGCTGTCATTAACCACTCACTGGGGTGCTGTCAAAACCCAACCTGCCAGCAGGGTGCCAGTAGCTCACGCCTATAATCCTAGCTACTCAGGAGGCAGAGATCAGGAAGACCAAGGTTCAAAGCCAGCCCGGGCAAATAGTTCATGAGACCCTATCTCAAAAAACCCAGAGACTGGTGGAGTGGCTCAAGGTGTAGGCTCTGAGTTTGAACCCCAGTACTGCAAAAAAAACAAAAAAAAGAGGGTGTGGGAGCTGGTATAGTTTGTGAGAGTTCACTAAGAAGCAAGATGTGCTGCAACACTACAAGAGACAAATGACGCAACTCTAGCACAACTCTGGAAAAAACACCAGGCAGGTGAGAAATGCAGGGTCTCAGGGGAGAATTATTGGGGAAAGAAAACAAAGAGAACAAAAGCAGCAAAGGTGGGGAGGAATTCTGCATCAAATGTTTCATTTCAGAGGCAGCAGTTGTCAGAACGGGGTCCCTAACTGGCTTAACTCAGCGCCAATGATATTCCCATGGTTTGTCTTCCAATCTCTTGATCCAAAACAAGGATCAGAAGGGTCTCAGCCACAGACTTGGATAAAAATCCAGATCACCCTTCTGTCTTGCTCTGATCACTCTTTGGTTCAAACCCCATTTGTTCTCTTCTGCAGCTTCATTTTCTCCACACATGTGGTGCAAGTTTTGAGCTAGATGGTGACAGGATGTCTCTTTTTGCTACCTGTTGGGCAACATCTGCTTGTATCTTAATCTCCAGCTCCTGTGGGTTGGGAAGCAGACCTTGCCTCTTCTTATCTCTCCAGCTGCTCCTCTCCAGGCCAGTACCTCTGGGTGCTACAGTGGGTGATCACTGGACAAGGCTATACTACCCTGCCTGGGCACCAATACCACAAGCCACAGCAAGAGTGAGCCAAAGTTTATGCACCTAAGCTGATTATTTCATTTTCAAAAGAAGCGCCCTTAAACAAAGCGGTCATCTACTGCCCAAATCAAACACTACACAGAACTTGCTATTGAGGAATGGGAGGAAGATGCTTGCAGGCTAATTGCAACAGAGGCAGCCACATCCTACAGGGACACTGGGATGGAGGACGATGGGGGATCAGAAATGAAAGGATGGATGAAAAGACACTGGTGGACCATGTGTGGCCATGGTGACAGTACTCCACAGAGAAGAGCACAAATACTGGAGCTCATGTATCTAACTCTTAAAAGCACAAAAAAAAACTTACCAGCAGCTTGGAAAGCTACAAAAACAGATTAAAAAGAACAAGAGTTCAGTACACTGATGTGAACACATGTCAGCTGTTAAACAGATTCATACGTCCCCTGGGAAGCGCAGCACCCGGGAAGAATGAGTGTGTTTATACGGGGGCGGGGGTTCCATATGACCAACAAAAAAGACAGCTCTGATCATTTAATGGGGCTTTTCCACTGGCTCAACTTATTGAAGTATTTTTCACTGGTTTGTCTGTGGATGCAAGGTATGTCCCCTTTAAAGAGGCCTTACTTAAAAGATCTACTCACTAACTCAGGGCTACTTCCAGACAGATAGTCAATCAGCTCTGCTCACCTGGATGTTGGTGGGATCCTTATATGACTCGTCACTGGCTGTCTGTAACTTCTCACTGATCCAAGCCTCGATCTCATCCACATCCCGGCTGAACTGCTGTAGAGTCTGAGATTCTCCAAGTTTTGACCTTTTCTCAATCATCTGAGCTTTCAGGCGGCGCCACCTGAGAGAATGAAGCCATGAGTCCAAATGTGAGCATCCTTTACCATGGAGGAGAGGAAGTTGCAGACCAACAGGCCAGGCCTTATGTAAGCACACGTGTCCTCTCAAAGCTGGTGACCGTCAGTACCACAAGACACCCACCTGTCCAAGACCTCGTTGCGCCGGCTTGCAATGTCTCCCTTGGCATAGTGGCCAGCAGCGATGAGCTGGTCGGCAAAGGCCTGCAGGGCGGCGATCTTCTCCTCCTGCAGGCAAACAGATGTGAGGTGAAGGGGGCCTGTGGACGGGCCTTCCCAGACTGCCGATTTTCAGAAGGGACAGGTTACTTTGGGTGACTGGGTACTAGCTGTGGCAGGATCAGAGTACACTGACACGTTAGAAGCAGGAGTGTAAAGAGCCAGAGTGAGTTTGGTTTTCATCATTATGAGAGGAGAGTTTAACTCAAGACAACTCCAGGTCACACTAAGGTGGTCAGATGCTGGAACACTAGCAGGTGTTACACAACAAATTAGGTTTCATAATAGGAAAAGACTTGTCAGATTATCAACAAAATGGCTTACAAAACAGAGTTACATATTTCTTGTTCTTTATGTTCGTGTATTCCCTTACTGGCTCACAAATTTCCTCCCCTTAAAAATTATTTTTCCTGGGCCATTATTAGTATTATTACTTTATTTTAATTTTTTTGTTGGTACTGGGGTTTGAACTCAGGGGTTTACACTTACAAAAGACGGCACGCTGCCGCTTGAGCCACATTTCTAGCCCATTTAGCTCTGGTTATTTTGGAGTTGGTGATCTCACAAAGTATTTACCTAGACTGGCTTGGAACCTCAAGCCTCCTGATTTCTGACTCCAGAGTAGCTAGGATTATAGGTGTGAGCCACTGGCATCCAGCCATTATTATTTTTGCAATGCTGGAAACGGAACCTAGGGCTTCACACATGCTAGGCAAGCCCTTTACCACTCCCCACCCTGGTGCCATTATTAAAAGTTTTTAAAGCTGGGTGGGTGGCTCATGCCTATAATCACAGCTACTCAGGAGGCTGAGATGGGGAGGGGATCAAGGTCCAAGGCCAGCATGGGCAAAAAGTTATTAAAACTTTGGAGACTGGGTCTCCTGAACTATTTGCTCAGGCTGGCCCCAAACCTCGATCCTCCCAATCTCAGCCTCCCAAATAGCTAGGATTACAGGTGTGAGCCACAGAGCCACAGAGCTAGGTAAGAGCCTAGAGCTTGGTAGGCAGGGACTCTACCACTTCAGCCACACCCCGTCCCCTCTAAAAATTTTTTTTTAAACTATATATGTATTTTTGTGATTACAGAAGTATTCCATAGAGATAAAACAATGACTATATTGTTTATTTTTTGGCAGTCGATACCAAGTTTGTTTTTTGGAGGTTTTTTTTGTGGTGCTGGGATGTGCATGCAAGGAAAGCACTCTGCCACTAAGCTATCCATACCTCCAGCCCATTTAAAGTCCTTTTTGCCTTTTTCTTTTTTTTGGTGGCACTGGAGTTTGAACTCAAGCCTCATGCTTGTTAGGCAGGTGTTCTTACCTTGTGAGCCACTCTGCCAGCCCTCAAAGTATTTTAATTTAAGGAAATTGGCAAAGTTTTGTAGCAGAGATGACCACATCAGTAACTATTTTTATTCTAATCATTAAAAGAGGAAAGCAGAATTAGTCAACAAATGTGGAAACTGTTAAAAAATTCAGATTAAGACTCCATGATACAGAGCCTCACCTGGACATTGATAGCTTTGTCAAAGTCTTCGTGCTTTTTGATCAGAGCCTCTACACTGTCCAGTGAATCTCCTTTGTCTTCAGTGTTCAAGAAGGCCTCCCGGGCGGCCATCCAGTTCTCAGCTTGCTCACAGTCCCGATGAAACAGCTGAAGAAGTGGATAGGTAGGTGAAAAGATGGGGCCTTTGGCAAGGAAACCTCTGGTCAGAACCTACCTACACGCACCTGCAACTCAAGGCACTGGTCCAGCATCATCCTGCGCTGTACCCAGGCCTTCTCCAGGTCTGTCCGCTCCTGATCGAGAACATCAAGTTTCTCCTTGATCTCTGGGCTGGCATAGTGCCCATGAGCCAGTAGCTGCTGCCCAAACTGCTCAAATGCCTGGAAAGTGCCAGCCCTGGCATCAATTTCTGTCCGATGTTCCTGCCAAGAGGAGGAAAGGGATTAGATAACTGGCAGAAGATGCCCATGTTATTGTCGACCACTGGCTCACAACTAAGGGTAGAGGGTAAAGCCACTCAGCAGACAGGTCTACACACCTGGTGTCGTTCCAGCAAAGCTTCCGCTCCTGTGACATCCTTGGCTAGCTCATCTGAGGACACCAACCCCCGTATTCCATTGATCCAAGACATGAGGTCCCTGGAAACCAGATTGGCAAAGGAACAGCTATTACCTTGCTTGGCAAGTAGGCTCTCTGGGTTAATCTAGATAGCTGTCAAGTGGGCTGAGTCTCACAGCTTCTTGATCTTGTTGAGATATTTTGAAGAACAACCCCAGCCCCCCGGCCAAAATTAAACCCCCAAACAGCTTTCTAAGTAAGATCTTTCACCCTGCAGAAATTAAGTTTTTGATAGCTTCAAATGAAAAGGCCTTTCTTTAGGCCTTGGAACCCTAGGCCTGTGCACATATTTAATTCAGCTTCTCAGAGGTGCTGGTGCAAGGGTGTGTAATCAGTGTGTACAGCCACATAGCATATGATTCCTTTCAAAGGAAGCATCAAGAAGAAAGTAAATAGGGTTAGAAAGTAGATGAAAGGTTACACGGGGCTGGGAGAGAAGGGGATGGAGAAGGGTTGGCTAAGGGGTCAACGGTGTTATTGTAGGATGAGTAAAGTTTTAAAACTTGAGAGGTGGTAGTTGTACAACAGTGTCATTGAATCACACACTTTAAAATGGATTGCTGTATGTTACATGACCTTAACCTCAAAAAAAGAAAAAATTCAAAACTATCAACTGGGACCTGTACCAGAGTCCTGGGAAGAGGAGGGGCTTGGATGGATGCAAAGGAAATGTCTGAGACTATAGATATACACATGAGCGTGTGGGTGTGTGCTAGAGAATATCTTTAAAAAGCAAAAAGCACAGAAGAGAAATGCTGTCCTCAAGGCTACTGTGAAGCAAGTTACACCCACCTGGTAACTGCCACCAGACATTAGAAGACTGAGGCAGCAGATCATGGGATATTTGGCAAGACAAGTGGCCTGGGCTCCCAAAATATGTCAATGTCATGAAAGATAAACAACAGGGTGAGCCAATGGTTCACTGCCTGTAATCCTTGCTACTCAGGAGGCACAGAACAGGAGGATCAAGGTTTGAAGCCAGCCTGGGGAAATAGTTCTTGAGACCCTATCTCAAAAAAAAAATCATGAAAAAGGGCTGGCAGAGTGGCTCAAGGTGTAGGTCCTGAGTTCAAACCCCAACACTGCAAAAAAACAAAACAATACTAGGGTAGAGGGATATTGTAACAGGATAAAGGATTATATCTATAATCCTAGCTACTTGGGAGACAGAGATCAGGAGAATCAAGGTTCAAGGCCAACTCAGGCAAATAATTCAAGAGATCCTATCTCAAAAATACCCAACACAAAAAAGGGCAGGCTCAAGTGGCATGAGGCCGAGTTCAAACCCCAGAACTGCCCCCCCCAAAAAAAAGACTACCAAGTGCACAAGTGCATTGGTAACCCTGAATCAGAACCTGGATTAAACATAAGCCCTGGATATAAAACACATAGTGGAGACAACTGGAAAAAAACTGAACATGGACTTCAATATTCCCGTGTGCTAGGTCTTTCAGGAGCGATGATGGAAACATAACTGTGTATGACACTCTTGCTCTTGGGAGATGTCTGTCTTTAAGTGTTCAGGAGAAAATGCCAGGGATCTGCAACCTATCTGCAGGTGCTCAGAAAACCAAAGTGCCTAGAGATAACAAGAATGTCACAAAGTCAACTGACAACTGTAAGTGATAGAATCACAGCTGCTCCTTGTATTATTTATTCTTTCAACTTTTTTTTCTTTTTCTTTTTCTTTTTGGTGGGACTGGGGTTTGAACTCAGGGCTTTTGTACTTACAAAGCAGGCGCGCTACCACTTGACCCATACCATACCTCCAGTCCTTTTTAGTCTGGTTATTTTGGAGATGGGGGTCTCTTGAACTATTTGCCCAGGGTAGTCTCAAACTGTGATCCATCCAACCTCAGTCTCCCAAGTAGTAGGGTTATAGGCATGAGCCATTGGCACCTGGCTCAGGACTGGAGTTTGAACTCAAGGCTTCATGCTTACAAAGCAGGCACTCTACCTCCAGTCTGTTTTTTTTGCTCTGGTTATTTTGGAGATGGGGAGGGGATCTCATGAACTATTTGCCTGGGCTGCTCATGAACTGTGATCTTCCTGATCTCAGGCTCCCAAACTTTCAACTTGCAACTCTTTTAAATCAAAAAAGATGATGGGTAAAACTAAGGTTGTCTCTATACTAAATGAAAAATATGTCTAGGAAAAAAATAATACTATTTAGCAAGGGCGCGTGGAGGTGACTGAGTAAGTGTGTACACATACACATATTCTATGTAGGGGTGTAGTTTGAATATTTTATACCGAGCAGGTATTACTTTCATATTAAAAATGACCACAACAATACAAAGCTCTGAGCAACAAACACTGTTTTTTACCGGAAATCACTAAGGAAGCGCTGCAGGTCATGGGAGTCACCCAGCTTAGCTTTGCGCTGGTCAGCGCGCTTCCCCAGGCTGGTCCAGGCTTGGTTTAACTCAGTGCACTTCTCTTTAAGGTCCTCTGCAGACTCAGGATGGGACTGGATCAGGCGTTGTGCTGTCTCCCCAAGGGAGTTTACCTATGGGAAGAAAGTGGTGAGAAAGCACAAATAAGGAAGCTCTGCGCCACAGAAACTGATACTTTGGCTCTGTCCTGGGCATCAGGTACCTTGTCACCAAGAGCTGCCAGGTCCCTCTCGAAGCCCTCATGCTTGCGCTGCAGTGCCTGAACACTGGCTAGATCATGGCCATAATTGTCTGTGTTCAGAGCCTGGTTCTTCTCTTCAATCCATTCTTTGGTTTCGTCAGCATCTCTACAGGTGAGACACACAGGCAGGTTAGTAAATGCTGAGCACGGCTGGCTTGCTTCCAGGGAAAACAGGGAGAATCTGTTTAGCTGGCATTTGTTTGTCAATAGCCACTACCAGCTGCTCTACAGAGGGAAAAAAGACATTTGTTTTTAGCAGTATTCACTGCATATCTATCCACTATGTCACATGTGGTATCGGTGAAAAAGTAAAGATCAGCAACACCCAGCTGTTACGCTGAGATCCTGATCAGTAAGTTGGGGCTCCCACGTGGGCTGGACAGTCACCATTTCTCCCTGCCCCAGTCAGTGCCAGGCCCTCACCTGTGGAACCTCTGTACTTCATGGGCACTGCCCAAGAGCTGGCTCCGCTCCTCAGCCAGCTGCTGCAGAGACCGCCAGCGCTCGTTCAGCTCCTGTAAGAGGTGAAGTGTCAGCCCTACTCCTACCCTCCTGGGTCCCACCCACAACCAGGCCTTTGGGAAATGGCTGAAATGGAGGAAGTGTTAGGGTACCTATAACTTTCTGTTTCCAATCTTCCTAGCTGAACAAATTCATATCCAGCAGCAACATTCCAGAAAGTCAAAAAGCTGCATCCAATGCCTTGGACATTCCCTAAATGGCTGATGGAGGAATCCCTTCTGAAGCAATAGGAGACCCTATCTTATTCAGTCTCAACCAGCCTGATGCCTGGCATGTGCACCTGCTTTATGAGCAACTGCTGGGTGGATAAATGCCAAAAGTTTCCTCTCTGACACTTGCCCAGTTGTATCTCAAAGCAGACCTGGGGAAAGCTGAGTGCAGGTGTGTGCAGGAGGCAGCAAGCAGAGTAGGTGCTGCTTTCCTGAGAGGTGTCTTAACAACTCCCATACCACTGGAAACCGGAGGGAAAGCCTGCAGCACCGTACAGCACTGATGAGGTGTGGACTCGGAATGCTGATCAAGCCACTCTGCCCTGGAGAAGGCTGGTGTTTTGCTTAGGATGCTCGGGAAGTCTCCTGGAGATCCAGGAGAGTAGGAAGGACGTGTCACCAGTGATGAGGACAAAAGCTCCATTGTAGACAGGGGAGGAGTGTAGTGAAGAAAGGCAGGGAAACCAGGGGAGCTGGTAACTGTGTCTTACCTTGATGGAATTGAAGGTGGCCACGGTGTGAACCATCAGACGAGCAGACTGTAAGGAGGAGAGCAGAGGGAAAACCAATTATGCATCTGAAGAGAGATCTGAGCTGCAATGCCACTGATTAGGTCCCAGTGGTCAACATTTGGAGTCGAGGCATTAGAAAAGTATGTGCCACTAGAAGGGCATGAGAAACTCCAAGGGCACAATCAGACCCAGTTCCAGGATTAGTTTATCTAACAAAGAGTGAAAAGAATGGTGAAAACCACAACAGCTGACAGGACAAAAAAATAGCTCAAAGACTAATGACTGTCCATATTACAGAACACTCCAGAAGACACTCAGCTTTTACACATGCTATTAGCTAAAACTGTTTAGTTAACAGTGAGGTGCACTAACAACCAATTTCACATCTAATATGGTTACTAGGCTGCTATTCCTAAAGGACAGGGTCAGCTTTGCCAGAATCAAAATGCAGACACTTCTAAAATTCTGAAGGGCCTTGGCACCTCAGTGCCCACCAAATTTATGTGAAAGAAACTCTCCATGTGGGTAGTGGAGCTCATCTGATGTTCCCATTAGCCTCCAGGTGACATGTGGATGTGTGAAGGTCCAGAAGGCAGACCCATGGTCCTTAACCTGTTTCAGAAACAGGAATTCCTCACAAAAATATCGGGAACACATTTCTGAAATAATACTTATGTTGCCCAGAAAAACTCTGTGGAAAGGTCAGATAAAGCAGGGTATATCCAAGCACCAATAAATCAAAGTTTACTACATGAGAAAAATTAAGATTGAGAAATGGAAAGTTGTATCACAGGGAAAACATGTCTTCCCTCCCAATTTGGAGTCTGTATAACGAGAATAGTCAGGGTAGCAAGGGAAACCAATCCTGGCAGCCAGGGTCCCCAAGGCAGGGTAGGATGACAATGTACTCTATGCGGAATGCACTGGCATTGACATACACAGTCCACCCCTACTGAGCACCTGAAAAAAGAACTTTGATTCTGTGTATAACACATCACACTTCCACAGAAATACAATCCCAAGGTCAGAGAGAACCCAGCCCACACAAGTCCAGGGTTGACCAAAGGTTCAAGACAAGCTGAATACTCTGAAAAAGATATGCCAGAAAGGATGTAAAATGTGAATGGTCCTGCAAAGCACTTGGAAACAGTATCTTGCAAAAGAGCACTTACCTTCCACGGGGAGGCTGTTTTGGAATCTGCTTCATCCTATTCAAAAGAGGAGGAGTTTAGCCAGAATGCAAGAGAGCACAGAGCCACCCAGCACATGACCTTCTCTATCAGGGATGCTGGTGTGCCCAGGTAAGTGAACACAATACCATCACCTTGCTGTGACTTAAGAGCTGACTATGACTAGCAATAAACACCAAGGCTGGTTTTGAGGCATTACATAAACATAGAAACATTACAGTTTTTGCATCCAATAGAAGAGATAAAGAGAATGAGGACATGTATTAAGAAAATGACCAATATTTCTTTGTATCATGCTCACAGAATTCTTTGAAAGGGCTAATAACCAAACCTAAGTGATGGCTGTGGAATAAATTTTAGAAGACTGCAGCGATAAAGCACTTTTAGGCTGGGCCTGGCGGCGCATACTTATACCCCAACGCTTGGGAGAGCCTGAGCCAGATCATCAGTTTGAGGCTGCATGTGAAATACTGTCTCAAAAACAACGACAAACACACCCACACAAAACACTTTTGGTCTTCTGGAGAATGGCAAGCAGATATTAATGTCTAGAATTTCTTTTCCAGATATTTTCACATAAAAGGGTCTCTGAGATATGGCAGCTCTTGACTTTGTGTTCTTCCCAAGATCTAAATCCTTCCCATGTTCAAGTTCCACATGGAGCCCCTGTGACATACCTTGGGCATCATGCCATACACCTCCTGCAAGGAGAAGGGAAACTAGTTTTAGCATTGGGGGAAATACACACTTCTCAGAACACACACTACTGGCAAATACTGGCAAATACTGCAGGAGACAGAGAGAGAAGACACAGGAGCGCTAGCACCACTGGCCAGCAGAACTACGAGTCAAGCATTTATATACAAAACCTTTTACTTAGTGAAGGAACTCATGAAATTGCCATTAGGGCTAAACATGTATTTAACTACTTTCACAGCACTTAATTGGCTTAGGGAGAATACTGGAGCCTCCACTGCATAAGGGGAGGGGATACTGGCTCAAGAAAATTAAAACGGCTTGGAGTGCACACAGACCTGGGCCTATGGTCCAGCCACAACTCTGTACTATGAAACACTGCTATGAGGCTATGAAGGACACAGGAAGGAACCAAGGTGACCCCTCAGGACATCTAAAACTCACTCTAAGATGGAGACACCCACCTGCTGCTGCACGGCTTGCACCTCCTCTGCCATCAGACCTTCAGATTCCAGGTCCTCAGCCACCTTGTTAATGTCTTTCAACCGGGATTCATTGGCCTTCAGATCCTTTAAAGCAAAAGCTATGATAACCAAATCTACAACACCAAGTTGAAGAAGGGCAGGACACAGATACTCAGAAATGATGGCATGAGCCTGTAAAGATCTGTTCCTCAGGTATCTATGAACTGGCTTCTCTACTCAACAGGTCTAGATCAGGACATCTTGAATGCCATATCGAGAAGCTTAGAAAATCACAGAGCATTGGAAGCAGTCTGTCTCAAATTTACTTCATTAACTATAGTCAAATAGTCATTACTCTGGTCAAGTATAGTCTTTAAAAAGTGTTTTTGGGAGGAAACGATGTTTTTTTTTTTTTTCATTTTTCTTTTATTATTCATATGTGCATACAAGGCTTGGTTCATTTCTCCCCCCTGCCCCCACCCCCTCCCTTACCACCCACTCCACCCCCTCCCGCTCCCCCCCTCAATACCCAGCAGAAACTATTTTGCCCTTATCTCTAATTTTGTTGTAGAGAGAGTATAAGCAATAATAGGAAGGAACAAGGGGTTTTGTTGGTTGAGATAAGGATAGCTATACAGGGCATTGACTCACATTGATTTCCTGTGCGTGGGTGTTACCTTCTAGGTTAATTCTTTTTGATCTAACCTTTTCTCTAGTTCCTGGTCCCCTTTTCCTATTGGCCTCAGTTGCTTTAAGGTATCTGCTTTAGTTTCTCTGCATTAAGGGCAACGAATGCTAGCTAGTTTTTTAGGTCTCAATTTACTTCATTAACTATAGTCAAATAGTCATTACTCTGGTCAAGTATAGTCTTTAAAAAGTGTTTTTGGGAGGAAACGATGTTTTTAAAAGGTGGTGCAACTGAAGGCACAGCACAACAGGAAGCCCCTCTTCCTTCCCATGCTTGAGTATTGTAAGAATACTCAAACTGGGGGTTGAGGGTGTGACTCAAATGGTAGAGGGCCTCCCTAGTAAACGCAAGTTCCTGACTTCAAATTTCTGTACTGCCAAAGACACAAAAACAAAACAAAAAAATCTTCAAACTGACCATCTACATGGGCTGTAGAGAAGTGAGGATTGCAGTTTGAGGCCAGCTCAGGCAAAAAGGTTAACAAGACTGTATCTCAAAAAAACAAGCTAGGGGACTAGACATAGTAGTGCATGCCTGTAATTCCAGGAGGTGGAGGTAGGAGGATCACAACCCAAGGCCAGCCTAAAGAAAAAGCCAAAGATGCTATCTAAAAATAAACTAAAGCCAAGGATACTGAAGAAGTGGATCAAGTGATAGTCTTGAGTTCAAATCTCAAACTGAAGCATAAATAGATGTTATGTGTTACATCCATACAATGGAATATGACCAGCAATAAAAAGGAATGGAGTATAGATATGTGCCATAAGGATGAATGCTGAAGGCTGAGAACTTGGCTCAAGCAGTAGAGTGCCTGCCTAGCAAGCACAAGGCCCTGAGTTCAAACCCCAGTACCACACACATGAAAAAAACCCACAAAAAAACCCAAAAAACCATGTTAAATAAAAGAAATCAGTCATTAAAAAAATGGCATAAGCTGGGCGCTGGTGGCTTATACTTGTAATCCTAGCTACGTAGGAAGCAGAGATCAGGAGGATCACAGTTCGAACCCAGCCCTGGCAAATAATTCAGGAAACCCTACTTCAAAAAAAACCCATCACAAAAAATGGCTGGTGGAGTGGCTCAAGGTGTAGGCCCTGAGTTCAACACCCAGAACTGAAAAAAAAAAAAAAAGGTAATATGTGATTCCACTTATATGAAATGTCCACGATAAGAAAATCCAGATACAAAGAACAGATTACAGATTAGCTGCTAGGAGACATAAATTGGGGAAATGGCCAAGGTCTGCTCAATGGGTGTGTGGTTTTATTTACAGATAACAAAACGCCTCAGGAGCAGAGAAAGGTAGTGGTGTGCAACACTGTTAAAGTACTAAATGCCACTGTTTTCTATGCTTTTAAATGGTTAACTTTGTTATGTGAGGTTTTTTTTTTTTTGGGGGGGGTACTGGGGCATTAACTCAGGGTCTACACCTTGAGCTACTCCACCAGCCTATTTTTTTTGTGATGGGTTTTTTCAAGATAGGGTCTCGCTAACTATTTGCCCCGGCTGGCTTCGAACTGTGAGCCTCCTGATCTTTGCCTCCTGAGTAGCTAAGGTTACAGACATAAGTCACTGGTGCCTGGCTTGTTATGTGAGTTTGAACTCAATTTTAGAAAGGGGGAGAAGAGAAGATGAAGGAAAATGATGGAAAGAGTGAATCTAAGGTACATTGTAAGGACATATGAAAATGTAACAACAAAAGCCCCTGTACAACTAACATATGCTAATAAAAATGCATAAAAGAAATAGTCAGGTGTGGTGATATATACCTGTAACCTAGTGTTTAGGAGGTAGAGTCAGAAGGATTACGAGTTCAAAGTCAGCCTAGGCTACATAGAAAGACTATCTCAAAAAAACCCAAAAGGAAAAAATATATATTCATTTTTTTAAATGAGTATTTTTACATCTTTTTATATTATGTGAGTTTAGAAAAGTTCAGCTGGGTGCTGGTGGCCACACCTGCAATCCTACAACTTGGGAAGCTGAGATCAGGAGGATTTGAGGCCAGCTTGGGCAAATAGTTTGCAAGACCCCATCTCCAAAATAACCAGAGCAAAATGGATTGGAGGTGTGGCTCAAGCAATAGAGTTCAAATTCCATTCTCACCAAAACCAACAAAAACTCCACCTTTCTTCTCTTTTTTTGTAATGCAGGACCTTATGCATACTATGCATCCCATCACTGAGCTGTATCCCCAGTCACCTTAAGAAAGTTCTTCAAACAACATGTAGAGAAAACAGTACTGCCTTTCTCTGAAGCCGGAAGTTTCTATTGAAGTCATTTAAAAAAAGCTACACATCCTAGCATCCCCCGCATCCCACACCACAAATAGTGAATTACAATCTACATAAATTACAGGGTCTATGTAATTTTCATTCCAGTGGTCAAAAATCAAGAGAACCAAATCTTTAAACAATTTTTGAGCTTATCTGCAAGACTTCCCATACCTTCTGGAAGTCATCAAACTTCTTCTGTAGCACCTCAACCTGCTCCAAGTCTGCCCCAACCTCTTCACTTGTCAGAGCAGCTTCCTTCTCGTTGATCCACTGCTGTAGTTCATTCGCTTCACGGAACAACATAAACTTCTTGCAGCTTTTCTCCAACATGCCTTTACGCTTCTCACCCAGTTCCAGCAGAGAATGGTATCTGATATAGGTCAACAGGGTGACAAGAGGGACAAGTAAGACAGCTACTCACAGATACCAACAGAAGGGCAAACCGCTAGGCATCTCAAAGTATGATACAAGGCATGAGTTTGTAATGATGGTGTCCTAGTGATGAGGGATCAGAATGTATGACTATGAGGATCCTACGTACCCAAGATCACAGCCTCAGGAATAAATACACACGCATTGTTCACAACTGGGTGGGTATGACAGCCAGACACACTTACCCACAGGCCAATTTTGCACTTATAACATCATGACCACAAATGACTGAAACCAAGCACTTAGCACGGAAACACAGGGTTCATGCGACTATAGTTGATAAATGAGATGAATCTGCATAATGTACACAAAGGATTTTCTCGTGTATCATTTCTATAACAATGCATGTGCTTTTCAGAAAGGTGTGGCAACTTCAGAAGGAAAGTGAGGTAGAGTGCAGAGTATCTGTGCCATTTCATTATCTGGATGACTTAAGAAGAACAAAAGAATATTCTAAAACTAAAAATAAAAAAAGCTGATCTGTTACTATCTTTTAGAGATATGAAAATGACAAACAAAAAACTAAAAGCTAAAGGAAAACCTGAAATCACTATTAAATCTAAGCTTCTTAAACTGACATAAAAATGCAACAAGCTACCAAGAATCAAAGCACTCTAAGGTACTTCATTTCCTTCCTACTAAGGAATACTATAGAATCAGCCTCAGGTTTGCAGATAACAGTGGCTGGCGCACCACAAAACAAACACAGGAACCAAGACCACTCTGAACGCAAAGCAGCACGCGGAAGCAACCAATGAGAGCAGCATTCATGGCGCTTACAGCTCCACTAACATCTCTGCCCTCGCCAGTGAAGCTGCTGCACAGATGCACGGTCCCTCCCACCACCTCCTCTTTTTGGATGGACAAGTGCCTCTGAGAGAAGCGGCAGAGGGAGAATGGACAGGCATAGCAGTGGACACAGGGTGCTCAGTGAGGCTCTCAGCCTACTCACAGTTCTTCCACCTGTTTCATACGCAGAGATACACTGCCGGCCTCCTTAGTTATGCGTGTCCTGCACAGAGGGGGTACAGCAAAAGCATGCACAAATTAGTGGGATTAATCCATGGGAATGGTAAGTGGCAGCTCCAATTGGTGCCATGATGGTGGACGTGTTAAGTGGGGAAAATTAAGGAGTCATTCAAAAGCTCTTTGAAGCAGCCAAGGCCACAGGGAAGAAACAATAGGAAAATTAAATGAGAGGGTTAGCTCACCATCATTTTCTTGACATATCTGCCATGCTTAAGGCAGATTTTTCCTGTATTACAAATACTGTTAACTTCATAGAGCAAGGCCAGGGAACAAAATGGACTTGGAAGGAAATTTTAGTGATTACTAACAGCCAATTTAGCATTCTATTTGATCAACATTTTTGCTCTTATATTTATGATGCAGCCACTGGTAAGAACACAAACCCAAACGTCTCATTCTTGTCTCAACAGTAAGAGAATTCAGAAGTATAGAAATAACTACAGTCATTTCAAGGATCACTAAGGTCAGAAGAATTCTATTATTCTAAACTCTATGGGAATGTATTTTCTAGATATTTCCCAAGTGTCCGAAGCTGCTGATTTCATCAGTGGACTCAGGTATGCACTAAAAGAGACACAGGTCAATATGGGGAGTCAGCTATAGGAACCAGGATAGAGCCATTTCATCAAAAATAAATTCCACTCTCAGAACACAAAGCCATAGTGACAGAGCAACTCTCCAAGCAACCGTCCAAAGGGGGAGCAGAAGTGAGGAGTGAAAAATCTGAAAATCCAACTTCAAAAAGCATCTCAAATCATAAGGACAGAGGTTAAGATGGTAATGATTAGATAAATGCAGTTTAGAAAAACAAACTCAGAAACACAAGGGAAGAAAACAAAACAGAACAAAGGAGATTAACATATTGGTCAGGGATTTAGGCTCGAATAGGCTGGTGCATTAAAAGTGGCTTGGGGAAGCAAGAGGTAGGTAGAGGGGCTCCAGAGGCCTTGGGACACTGCCTACACAAAGCTGCAGTGAGTCAGACCAAGCCCTGAATGACACCTGGACCTTTGTGCTGTGCCCCTTACTGGTTGTCGATCTGCTCCTGCCGTAGCGCAATGCTGCCCTGCTCCTCCAGGAGGTTCTCCCTTGAGGCTGACTGGGCAGGGTCCAGCTTCTTCACATATGCAGCTGGCACAAAACCCTGACGATCATTCACTTCCACTTTCCACCAGTCCTAAGGGAGAAAACAAGACTGAAAGCAGATTCCTTTCTGGTGAGAGGGAGAATTCACATATGCCTGTTTGTGTGCACACTTGCATGTGGCACCCATACACAAGAGGGTTCCAATCATTTTAAGATGTCTGTGACAGAATCAAAGTCACTTTGCACTGCCACACATGGAGAGGGTCATAGTTAAAGCTGCAATGCCAGCTACCATGGATACTCCCTAATGGTGGTGTCCCACTGGTAGCCACCAACCATGTGTGCCTATTCAACTTTCAGTTAGAATTTAACTCATTAAGAAACTCAGTTGCACAAATCACAGTTCAAGGGCTTACTGTCACATGGGACTAGAAGTTACCAGAGGGGCAGCACAGACAACATTTTCACCATCACAAAAGTTCTTCAGGGCAGTGCCGCTCTTGAATAAACTAGGTAGACAAGAGGGTTGGTTTTAGCTTAAATTAGAATCAACAGAGAGATAGGAATCACACGTTTCCCCAGACACATGTGAGGAGGGTAAAGGGAGTGAGGGAATATGGAGATTCTTAACAATGATCCAGAAGGTTTCTCTAGCCTTAACTAAGATGGGAGGCAGGATCTTTCAGGATAAGTGAGGTAATATGTGGAGAAACATGTACCTCCATTAAGAGCCACTTGACATGGGTCAAGGAAGAAAGGCTAATAAGCTGGGAGAAAATGAAGCCTGTAGGGTGCTGTTACAGCAATCTTCCACTATCTGCCAGGCTGAGACCAGTTGTAAGTCTAGATTAAACCAACAGGTAGGGGCTGGGGATATAGCTCAGTGGTAGAGCACTTAGCTAGCATGCACAAGGCCTGGATTTCATCTCCAGTACCAACAACAAAAACAACCAACAACAACAAAAAAAACACTTGTACTTGCTCTGTACAAGTTACAGAGCAGCAGACCATGGCCCAAAAGGGAAAAAAATCCCAACTACAGATGGTTAATTGTAATAAAAAAAGTTATCCCTTAGGGTGAAATTCTCTGCACTACCTGCAGAAGACAGATTCAAGGGGACACATTTAGTAGCTCCCTGATCAAACACTGAATAAATGTAGATTAAGTGAGAGAACAAAGAGAAAAACCCTTCTATCTATTCTCATTCCATCCACATAAAGCCCAACAGAGTGAAGTCAGCAGTGCTGAGGGGCAGGCACCCAACACTTTCTATGCCTTGCCTTGTTGGTGCTGTTGAGCAAAGTGAGGATATCTCCTTTTTTCATGGTGACCTCTCGAGGACTCTTCTCCTGATAGTCATAGAGAGCCAGGACGAGTTCCTTCCCAGTCTCATCATCCATAGGGGCCACTTGTTGCTGAAAATCCAAAGAAAAGGCAAAAAAAGAAAAGAATGTTCACAGGCTGTCATGTAAGCACACAACAGAGCCCAACTCCAACAGTGCATCAAATTTACCAAATGCACACTCATGAGAGTTCTTCACTAAAACTACCAATAAAATCTTATTCAATCTGGTAGGAATCTTTATAAATCCTTTTACACTATCTCACTGTAATCCTTAGCGTCCTAAGGATGCCACCCATAACATCTGTTGGCAGTATGTGGTTCCTTGACTTTCTCTGCCCCCATCCTCTTCCCAGAGTGACCTGGAGCAGCTGCACAGCTTACCCGGCATGACTGAGCCTGCTCTCGCAAAGCCTGGATGCTGCTGCCATAGGCACTAAGATCTGACATCAAAGCTTCGTGTTTCTTTAGCAGAGCCTGAAACCACAATCATACATTAGCATAGCCCCTGCGCAAGGATGGTATATGAATTTGTAAAGTGTTCCATATTAAAAAAATACACACACACACACACACACACACACACACACACACACCATCTTAAGTAAAATGCTGCAAGATGTCAAAGTTGGTTCCACATACCACCTCTTCCCTTTCCACACATGGTGCTTTATCATTTCCTACTAAAACCATTTCCAAGGCTGTCAGTTCGCCCATCTTTTGGGAAAAACATATACAGTTCGTGTCAATGCTCAAGTCATTTGTTTTTGTTTTGTCTTCAGACCTTCTTTTTTGTTTTTTGGTGGTGCTGGGGCTTGAACTCAGAGCCTACACCTTGTGCCACTCCACCAGCCCATTTTTTGGGATGTTTTATTTCGAAATAGAGTCTCACAAACTGTTTGCCTGGACTGGCTTCAAACTGTAATCCTCCTGATCTGCCTCCTGAGTAGCAAGGATTATAGGTGTGAGCCACCAATGCCCGGCTGTTCAGTTTTTGTTTTGTCTTATAGTGCTGAGGCTGGAACCCAGGGCAATAAGCATGCTAGGCAAGTGTTCTACCGTTGAAGGTTACAGTGCATGCTGTAACCTCACATTTTGGATTTTGAGAAAACGAACAAGAAAGGACATAGGTATGGAGACTACATCTAGACCTGTATAAATAAAATACAAAGAGCTAAAAAAAAATGTAAAGAGTTAAAAAAAAAAAAAAAAAAAGATGCACCTGGCCTCAGGCATGCACTCTGTTACACACCCTGAACCGAGTAACTAAGCTCTCTCTTCAAAAGTCGGTATTTTCGGCTGGTAGAGTGGCTGAAGTGGTAGAGAACTTGCCTAACAAGCAATCCCAGTACTGCCAAAAGAAAAAAAGATATATATATATACGTATGTATATATATATATATATATATATACATACGTATATATATATATACATATATATACATGTATATATATATATATACACATATATATATATATATACACACACACATGCATATATATACATATATATATATATATACACACACACACATGCATAACAGATGACTAACAAAAAGGATGTATCTATATGTGTAGTCGCGTTTGCATGTATCTGTGTGCTGGTATTACTGTGTATGTACATGTGTGTGCACATGGTAGAGAGAACAGATAAGAATGGCACATGTTGAGCCAGGGTAGTGGCACATGTGTGTATCCCAGCACTTGGGAGAGAGGCTGAGGTAAGAGGATTGTGAATTTGAAGCCAGCCTGAGATATAAAGTTGAAACCCTGTCTTAAAAATCCTCTCTCCTAAAGTTATGACTGAACTCCCATAATAAAAAGGAAAAAACAAACACCTTAAAAAGTAGTCACTGTGATGCAGTACCGTCCCCACATCATCACTTCTCCTAACCTGCTGTCCACTTCAGGTACAACGGAAGCCTGAGATTACCTCAGCAGAATCCTCGTCCTTCCCATAGTCAGTGCTACCCACGATGGGCTCCTTCTCCCGCATCCAGGACTCAGCCTCATTGGCGTCGGCAAAGTACTGCTGGGCCTGCAACGAGTCCTCTAGGTCCTGCCTCCGCTGTGAGGCTTTGGCTTTCAGTGCTTCCCACTTCTGATTCAGCTCATTGAGCTTGGCCTTCACATCTTCTGCAGCAAAGTGCCCTGAAGGAGAGGACAGCAGAAAGAATACTGGCACTTCAGAGAAGGATGGAGAGGCCTCTGCATTCACAGCACTTTTGTTACTACGTTTTGGGGAGTTGTGTCCTATCCTAATTACATTCCTAATGAAAAATAGTGACTCTGACCCCTTAACAGATTGCCTCATTCTTACATCTGCAAATCACGACTTATCTAGATCCTAAGAAGCAGACACCCCAAGCTGGTACCGGTGTCCTTACCATTATCATAAGAAAATCAAAAAACAGCAGCAGTACTGTTTCCAAGGCTTCCACGTGCAGACACTTTCAGTCCGTCTAACCCTCACGACCACACCAGGAAGGGTGCTGCCATTCCCAGTGTCCCCGTTTTATAGGTAAGCTATGCAGGCTCAGCAAGGTAAGGCCTCGTTGAGGATATTCAGTTAGCACAGAATGGAGACTGGACTCGCCCCCAGCCCAGTCTGCTGTGCTGGAATCCGTGCACTTAACCAATGGAGGGAGGACAGGAAGGGCAAAGCCAGGACCCATTCACTCACCTTCCTCCACCATGGCATTTCCCTTCTGTGTCACTGCTTTGATGCGGGGTTCATGTCCAGCAATTTCTGCTTGTAAAGCTTGATGTTTCTTTAGCAGATTCTGGACTCCAATCAAATCCTTGCCTGAAAGCAGAAACTACTCCCTCGTCATCCAGCCACAAAGAAAGTCAGCACTGAACCATGTCACTCACAGCTCCCACCAGGTTCCAGCATGGTAATTTGTATTTGACCTTACCTCTTGGACACGTTTCCCCTTTATGCATTCCCATATCCCAGCTGACTTCCTGTCTGGTGGGGGCAGACTGACCTCTATTGGTAGATGCAGCAATGGGCTCCTTCTCACGGATCCATGTCTCCTCATCTTCCACATCACGAAAGAGCTGCTGCAAGCGCAAAGAATCTGCCAGCTTCTGCTTCCGGGCAACCATGGGTTCCTTGAGAGCCTCATAGCGAGCCACAAGGGCCTCCTGTTTCTTCTTGATGTTTTCAGCATCAAAATGCCCAGCATCCTGAAACTGGCGGGCCTGAATGGTGATGCCATCAATTCGATCCTTGAAATAGAAGAGGACAAGGCCTTGAAAGTTTGAACCAGGACTGAGAAACTCTCAGTCTGGGCTGACTGTTACTTGGGTATAGTTTTATCACATATAAGGAAAAAGTAACATGGTGTTTTTCCCACCCTGATGGTATTTTCTTTCTGCCATTCCCTTCCTTCAGTTTGGGCTCCCAAAAAAGCAGAAAAGACAATTTAGAATTAGCAGAAGCATACGGTTCTCTAATAAAGCCACACTTCATCCCTCTTACCATCTCATCTTGAAATTGTTGCCACTCTCCCTCCTATCATTCTTCATTCCCTTGCCCAGGCACAGACCCCAATTTGCACTCTACCTGATGAGCAGCCACATCTGCTTCCAGCAGGGCATGCTTCTTCTGGAGGTTCTGGACATTGGTAAGGTCTTTGCCATAATCATCTGAAGCCAAGTGACCTTCTACTTCATACAGCCACAATTCAATGTCCTCAACATTGCGATTAAATTGCTGTTGCTGGTTAGCTTCACGAAGCTTTATTCCTGTCCAAGGAGGCAAATTCAATTTTCTATCAGTTAACATTACCCTGCCACCAACACTGTTCATGAACCATGATAGCATGGTGAAGGAGTCTGAGTCAGAATTTTAGTTAGTGCTTCACTTTTAACACAAAAGTAAAGAAAACCTAATGTAGCTGGGTGCTGGTGAAAAAAAAAAAGAAAAGCTAATATGCAACCTGTGTTTCACCATGTAGAGGCTGAACTGGAAGCTATCTGGAAAGCACTAACTTCCATGAGATAAGGGCACCAGGGAGTTAACAAATGCCCCTGGCTCACAGCTCAACTTTTTTTTTTTCTTAGGTACTGAGGCTTGAACTCAGAGCCTTCACCTTGAGCCACTCCTCCAGCCCTATTTTTGTGAAGGGTTTTTCGAGATAGGGTCTCATGGAACTCTTTGCCCAGGCTGGTTTTGAACCACGATCCTTCTGATCTCCGCCTCCTGAGTAGCCAGGACTATAGGTATGAGCCACCGGTACCCAGCTCACAGCTGAACTTTGACTTTCACTGAGAGGCCCAATTAATTCTCTTTAGGCTTCCACACCAACCAGCACATTCAATCACACTTACCAAAGTAGAAAAGCATCCAAAATCCAAGACAAGTAATTCCTACATGGGAAATGATCCCATGTAGTGATCATTACATAAGCCCAAAGTCATTACTCCCACCTTACTTGGGTGGTACAGGTCCCTGGAACACTTAACATGAAGGAGTATTTTAGCTGCCCAAACATTCCTATCACCATTTACTATACCATTTCCTCCTACCTTTCAGTTCTGTGGCCTCCAGCAGCTTCTTCCACAAACTGATGACCTCGTTCATACGAGCTGCTACTTCATCCTTGGCATAGTGGTTGACGTCAATCAGCTTTTGCCCAGCTTTCTCCAGGGCATCAATTCGGCTCTGGTTTGCTGAGAGTTCGGCTTCAAAAGCCTGATGCTTCTGTACTTTTCCCTGCAGGTTGGATGGGTCCTGCCAATGAAAGAAGAGGGTTTTGTCTTAAACCTGAGTACATAAAGTTACCTTGCATTCCCTTCATACTCATCTTTACTGGAATGCATAAGAACAGTAAGCTTATGTTATTTAGTATAATTTATGGAATCCCCTTTTTTTCTTTAGCTACAACTGGTTTGTAAGAACTGGGTTTAGCACTATCCAAGTGCCACAGGACAATGTTAATGGTATATTACTTTATAAGCTTCATCGGTGGCAGTTTTCATCTTCTCATTGACCCAACTCTTGAGCTCATCAGAATCACGGAAAAACTGCTGCAAGTGGAAGGAATCGGCCAGTTGGGCCCGGCGATGCATGGCTCGCTCATGAAGGGCATTGCGGCGGCTCAGCAGCTGAAAGACAAGAATCCCTGTGAATCTCCAGTATGTACTACCAAAAAGATGATTAGTTTGACAGATAGAACTGTGACTGTCTGGAAAGGGACATACACATACATTAAGGAAGGAGCAGGAAGAACTTGGGAACTTACAGCATCTCGGCGAGTGGCCACATCTTCCATGGCGTAGTGGTTGTTCTGGATTAGCTTGGTTGCAAACTCATCCAGTGCCTAGGAACGAAGGTGAGAGTTACGAGTATGAGCACTGTTCCCCAGCCTGCTCGCTGAAGAAAAGAACTGCAGACAAGCCATGAAACACTCAAGTCTCAACACAGTCAAGGTGGGCACTACAGGAGGCATTGATGACATTTTCTTGTGACGTGTAGTTTATTTTTCCTTTCCAGCGCTACTGGGATTTGAACTCAGGGCCTCACACTTGCTAGACAAGTGCTCTACTACTTGAGCTACTCCATCAGCATTTTTTTGTGATGGGTTTTTTAAAGATAGGGTCTCGTGAACTATTTGCCTGGGCTAGCTTTGAACTACAATCCACCTGATCTCTGCCTCCTGAGTAGCTAGGATTATAGGTGTGAGCCATCAGCACCCAGCAAGATGTAAAAATTTGCTTGACGTATTATTAGTCCAACACAATGAGACTGTTCATTCCATTCCAGATAGGGAGATGAGCTGCAGCATGAGCTCCTGACAAGTGTCAAGACAGGTCAATGGCCTTCTGATTCTTGCTTCTATGATGTGTTTTCAATGAGAAAAATACATGTTGTATAACACTGAGCTAGTGTTACTAAAAGGTACATCCAACCTGGAGGTTTCCATGAAGCAAGTGATTTTGGTGTCTACAGCTTTTTTACGTCCACAAGATGATATCATATCACTATCATAAAGTCTTGAGCATCCCCAAGAGTGCCTTGTGTTCTTCCATTAGATCTTTCCAGAGACCTCATAAGATGAACTCTCTTACTCTAAGGATCCTATGATAACAAAGCTCTTACTGTGATCTTTTCCTCCTGGGCACTGAGGGACTTCTCAAAGTCCTCATGCTTCTTGAGCAGTGCTTCTACACTGTCCAAGGAATCGCCCAAGTCTTCATTCAGCAGGAACGCCTTGAGAAAGCAAACAAAGTATACAGAATCACGTACTATTCTTTAACTTCTATAGCTTGCAAACAAAGGATATTTTGGCCAAAATACAAACAAGGAAAGAGAGTCTATAGTTATTAAAGTTCTGAGATCTCTTCCAGAAAGTCTAAGGTCTTTTTAGATTCACTTAAAGTTCATCTATCAACATTGGGAAATCCTTGTCCACATTCTACTGGGTACTTTTTTCTATTTGGTGGAACTGCGATTTGAACTCATGGCTTCACACTTGCAAAGCAGGAGCTCCACCACTTGAGCCACACCTCCAGACCATTTTGATCTGGTTATTTTGGAAATGGGGCCTTAAGAACTATTTGCTTGGACTGGCCCCAAACCTCAATCCTCTTGACCCCAGCCTCCCAAGTAATTAGGATTACAGGTCCAAGCCACTAGTGCCCAGCTGAAACTTTGAGACAGTGTCTCACTCTGTTGCGAGGTTGGCCTCAAACTCAAAAATCCTGCCTCAGCCTTCTGAGTGCAGGGATTACAGATATATGCCACTATACTAGGCTCTTAAGTAACTTTGGCTGCTTCTCTTAGATTACACACAAATGCTAAATTTTAAGGAAAAAAAACTCTTTAGTAAAAAACTTTACATCCCACAAATGTGTAAGGGCCTTTTCTGTGGCCCTTACAGTGAGAGAGACAGGCAGACCTGACAGAAACCTGCTCAGTTCCCCCTCCTTTGTTTGATTCAAAGCCAAAACGGCTCTGATTTCCTGAAAAAATGTAAGCAAACCACTCAAGTGGAGTAGCACAGGTCCTTGTCTCCCTGGTCAGCAAGGATCCAGCTTGAAAGTTACCTCCTGTTTGCTCATCCAGTTGTCCACCTGCTCGGTGTCTCGGTAGAAGAGCTGCAGGTCCATGCACTGCTCATATTGCTGCCTGCGCAGCTCCCACAGCTCCAACAGGGCGGTTCGCTCCTCTGAGAGGATGGTCAGCTTGGGAGGTGGGAATCAAGGTCAGCCTCATGCCTTAGTCAGGTACAGGGCTGTTCTTGAGAGTATGATCCTCATGCTAACCTTCAGGCTTTTTATAATGACTCGCAAAGAAGTGATAAATACACCAACACTGAGTAGCTTGTATATATAGGTTAAATGCAAGAGGGATGGTCCTGTTCTCATTAGCCTAGAATTAATTTATTGACACAGCATCACAAACATTTTAGGTAAAGATACCAGGTAGAGAAAATAGGCTCTATGTGGAAGCAAGGCCTCTAAATGGAGAAGGGCTCTCCACTGAGAAACGTAATTGAGGGGAACTCTGTCTGTCTTGCTCCAACTACTGAAACAGAACTATTTTTTTGCAAAGTTCCTTTTAAATAGGAAACGTGTCATATACACCCCAATTAAAGGAAACTGTCTCTTGGGCTAACTGCACACTTTACACAGATCTTCTTTCTAATCTTAGGCTAAGTGTCCTCACATGTGATGGCAGATGCCATGTATAGGCACTGAGTGACAAAGAACAGCTTTTAGGGATTGACTTCCTCTCCTTCTTGCCTCCCTTACCTTCTCTCTCACTTCATCAGAGGCATAATGACCAGCTGCCAGCAGCGCCTGTCCAGACTCATCTGCAGACTTAAAGCTATCTTCATGAGCATCAATCTCACCCTGGAAGGGAAAGAGACATAATTTATTTCCAGCGTCTTATAAAAGAAAAACAAATTGTTGAATTCCAAATACTCATTATAAGTTAGTCTGTTCTGTCTAAAGTGGGGAATAGAATGGAAGATTTAGTTAGGTTTCCTAACCATCATCCTGAGTCATCAAATGCAAAAACACCAATTACTGAGAAGTCTTTCAACTGGCTTTGTAGGCCACCTTTGTCATTTAACAGGTAGCCACACACTCACATGGATCTGAGCTCTCTCTTCTATTCCAGTGCCAAATGGGGGTGTTTATTTGAATCCCTCACCTGCCCTACCATGTTCCCCAAAATTGACTTAGGTATTTTTTTCCTTCCAAATAAATTTTATAATCAGCTTACCTCATTCCAAACACATATACATACGCCCCTGTTGAGCTTTTGGGTGGAGCTGCACTGAGTGTCTACATCTGGGGAGTATTTACATTTTTACGAGAGCTCATTCTATTCATGCACTATGTATGTCATTCCACTTATTTAATTTTTCTTTAATGATTTTCAACAAAGTTTTATAGCATTTTTCACAAACAGACTTATTCCTATGTACCTTGTAGTCTCTGTGAGTCTTCCTCTCCCTTAATTTTTTTTTAAAGGTAAAGTCTATTAAAATGTTGTGTAACTAGTTTTCCAAGGAACATACTTGGGGTAAAAACCAGAATAAGAAATTTAGGTTTATTTGAACTATGAAATTTGGTTTTTAAAATCTTTTTTTTTTTTTTTTTTCCCTTTTAGTGTACTAGGGTTTAAACTCAGGGCTTTGTGCTTGCCCTATCAGTTGAGCCATATCTCTATCCCCTGAAATTCAGGAGACAGACATTTTTAAGATAGAACAGATGGATGTGCCAAGTAGTATTGCTTCTACCTGGCCAGACCTCACCTCTCTCCTTTCAAGATCACAGCAAACCCTCCACTAACAGCAGATAGAACAGGTCTCCAAAGGCAAAGGCAAAAATAAGCCTTATGGTGAAAACCAGCTGTGAGTTAATAATCTACCAACTCCAACTATAGGACTACAGGCCTCCTGTAGTCTACATCTTTACTTCTGGAAGATCCTGACATACCTTGTGCTCTTGGTGCCTATCCAATAGGGCTTCAGCCCCTGCAACATCATTGGCCAGTTCATCTGCATTGATAAGGGCTTTCATCTCAGTCACCCAGCTTGTGAGGTCACGAAAGTCAGCAAGGAAGCGCTGAAGCCTTTGGAAGACCAAAAGTGCATCATTAGATGTTTCTAGTGAGGTCCCAGGGTGGAAGCTGGCTCCCTAAAGTTCTGAATTCAAAAGCCTAATAAACCACACAAACTCTAGTCCTGGGAAATAAGACAATGTTCCAAATCCAAGATGAAAGGAAAGCAAGAGAAGGCGGAAATCAATCCTTTAAAATTTAGGTTCTGTCTGTCACTATAATGTTCCAAACTCATCCTACATTTTTTGCTTGTTTTTGAGATGGGATCTTGCTTTTTTTTTTTTGTGGTATTGGGGCTTGAATTCAGGGTCTACACCTTGAGTCACTCCACCAGCCTATTTTTGTGATGGGTTCTTTTTTGAGATAAGGTCTCTTGGACTATTTGCCCGGACTGGCTTCAAACCTTGATCCTCCTGATCTCTGCCTCCTGAGTAGCTAGAATTAGGTAAAAACACCATTATCCAGTGGGATCTTGCTATGTTGCACTGACTGGTCACTGTCCCAAGGCATCTTGGGCAAATAGTTTGAGATTCCCCATCTCCAAATAACCAGAGCAAAATGGACTGGAGTTGTAAGAGTGCCTGCTTTGTAAGCGCAAAGCTATGAGTTCAAACTCCAGGCCCACCAAAAACAAAACAAGCAAACAAAAAATTACACACATCCTACAATCTTATAATGTGCTAGTCTCCAGATATAAAACAGGTTAGAGAATGTGTCTGTATGTTCTTAGTAGGTGACACCTGACAGGATACACAGAACTGACCCTCCATTCTAACTTCCCCTCTTTTGTAAAACAGAGTCAAATGACACTGGTTGCTAAGCATGGGAAGATTATGTTCACCTGTATGAATCATTGAGCCGTGCGTGTCTCTCTGCTGCCAGAGTGCGGATCTGCTCCCAGTTTGTAATCAGCTCCTCTCGTTTCACTTGGATTTGGGTAGCGCTCAGAGGGTGGGATTGCTGCAGGCGGTCAGCCTCGGCACATAGGGCTTTGACCTACAAATATACTCTGTCAGAACTCTCTCCTGACCTTTGGTAGTTTATGGAGTCAGTGCTTTCAAAACCCACCTTGTCCTCTAGAGCAGCAAGATCTCTCTCCAGACCCTCGTGCTTCCGCAGCAGAGCCTGAACACTTGCCAGGTCTCGGCCAAAATCATCAGAAGCCATCAACTGTTCCTTTTCCTTAATCCAACTGATAGTCTCATCCACATCCCTACAGAATAGAGGCACCAGTCAAGCTAGTTAATGTAACAACTGTCCAGAACTGGGAACACCACTTAGGCTAAGATCTGGTTGGCTCTTGCAATTTATTAGCACAGGACATGAACTTTACTGACTCCTCCCAGCAGGTAGTCTGCTCCCCAAAGCCCATTCTGGGCTGGTACCTGTTAAAGCGCTGAACCTCAGCAGCCCCAAAGAGCTTCCCCTGCCTCTGAAGAGCCAGGCCCTTCAGTCGCTGCCAGGCTGCATTCACTTCATCCTGCTTGGTCTTGATCATCTCCTCCTCAGGGTGTTGCTCCTAAACAAGGTAGAGTAGAAGAGACAGGATTTGCCCATCACCTCTGGCTCTTACAACTAGTTATCCTGGAATTAGCTCATGTATGTGTGTGGACAGTTCTTATTGTGAAGAAAATCTTAACAGAAGAAACTTGGCCTTCTATGTGAAATGAAATGAGCTGCAACTCAAGAGAGCATGTTTCTTCTTGTACAAAGAGAGGAGACCGCTATCTATCCCTAGGAGTAGTGTGGTTAGTTTACAAAGAGGTTATGAGCATCAGTACCAAATATTAACAACCGCTTTGTTTCCAAACTTGTCCAAGTTTCATCGATGAACCCATTTACCCCACATGCTCAAAAATCTGGTACTTCAAATGTTTGTGAGGTGGTTAAGCACTATTGCTTATACGCATGATTTTTAGGGCCCAAGAGTTTACTACTGGCTTCAATCCAAAAACATCCTGTTGAAAGTACCCTGCCCACCAATGACACTTTTTTTTTTTTTTTTTTTGGGCTTTATTTCATTTTAATTAAAGAAAACACATATCCTGACATGGTGATACATGCCTTTAATACCACCTACTTCAGAGGTGGAGACAGGAGTATTACAAGTTTGAGGCTAGCTCAGACAAAAGTTAAACAAAACACAAAAACAAAAGGGTTGGGGGTGTGGCTCAAGAGGAACAGTGCTTGCCTAGCACGCACAAGGCCCTTGGCTGAATCTCTGGTACCATTAAAAGAGAGCGAGAGAAAGACAGAGAGAGAGAGACAGAGAGAAAGAAAGAGAGAGAGAGAGAAAAGAACACACGAGTAATCAGGGCTTTTGGATCCACTTGTGAGATCAGGGGCTTGACCTGACAATTATTCTTCAATAAAACCTGGGGATGGCTCAGGATTTAGGAGGTGACACTGTCTCTGTGGAAGGGTAGATATTTCTGAGGAATGCTAGCTATTCTTTCTCTTAATTATTGACCAGAAAGAGAGAATAAGCATTAGCCCTGAAGTAGATCTCTAAATTTAAAATCTGCACCCTCAAGTAAAATTTCCCCTAAAGCCAAAGCTCTCTGCCTCCTACTGTTTGGTGAATCTAGAGCATATTGAGGTAAGTAAGAGAAAACGAAAAAGCAGCTCATGGGCTGGTGGAGTGGCTTAAGTGGTAGAGCGCCCGCTTAGCAAGCATTGAGGCCCTGAGTTCAAACCCCAGAACTGGAAAAAAACAAAAAACAAAAGCAACAGCTCATGGAGATGCACATATAGACAACTGGGAAAGGTCATCTCACTTCAGGAGATGGTACTCTACCACTGGAGCCACTCCACCAGCCCTTGTTTGTGTTGAGTATTTTTAAGACAAGGTCTTGAAAACTATTTGCCCGGGCTGGCTTCAAACTGTGACCCTCCTGATCTCTGACTCCTGAGTAGCTAGGATTACAGCTTTGAGCCACTGGTGCCTGGGTCTGGTTATGATAGAGATGGGGTCTTGAGAACTATTTGCCCAGGTCAGCCTTGAATCTAAATCCTCCTTATCTCAAGTCTCACAAGTAGGTAGTATTATAGGCATGAGCCTCTGACCTCTAGCTCCTCTAGCCCTTTTTGGCCCAGGTTGGCCTGAAACCACAATCCTTCTCTGTCTTCTGAGTAGCAAGGATTTTACGCATGATCCACCATGCCTGGCTTTTTTGTTTGAGACAGGGTCTCATTACATACCCCAGACTGACCTAGAATTCACTATGTAGCCTAGGCTGGCCTAGAACTGAAAATCTTTTTGCCTTAGCCTCCTAAGTGCTGGGATTATAGGTGATTATCACCATGCTTGGCTGTCTCAACCCTCTTAATGAGCTCCAGAGCTACTAGTGGAGAGCCCATTTATTACCAGGTCCCCCCAGGCTTCCCAAAGAGTGCAGGGAAGTTTCCATCGAAAAGAAAAAGCAGTTGGCACTGGTGGAATCTGCCAACACCAGCAAGCACTCATCACCACACCCTTGTCTGAGAAACTCAGAGACCCAGCTTCAGCAGCCCAATAAAAGCTATGCCTCTGCCCCACCCAAAAGTGGGTGGAGGAAACAGATCAAATGAACTCTGGCCTTCCTGCCTAAGGCCACAAGGTAACTCCGAAGAAAACTCTTATTAGAGATGCTTATAAAAACTTGCTCACTTAGAAATTAGGGACCATCAAAATTTTCTTCCGGATATACTAGAAAGCTGACATGACAATGGTGTGAACACCACACAGTACTTCGCTCATTACCTGGATGAGTTTGGCAGCAAATTGATTTACTTCATTAACTCTTTCTTCATGAGCAGCCAGATCTGTCTGAAACTCTTCAAATTTCTTCTGTAGAACCTCCACATGTTCCAGGTCTTGGCCAAGCTCCTCAGAAGTCACAATTGCTTCCTACTCAGGGACAGAAACAGAGCCAGTCATCAGCCAACAGCTGGTAACAAAGGTTCCAAAAACTTATCATGAAACAGATGTGTTAGGGATGGAACTGCATTAGCTAATGGACAGTTTTCTGTGCGTTTTTTATTTCAGTCGTCTCACAACATTCTGTCCCAGAAGCCCCAGGGTTCAGAGTGGCAGAATCAAAAGTCCCTGGAAAGCGGCAAGAGACACAGTGGTTCCATTTGCACATAGCATGCAGTCTGGCTGCACCTGTACTATTGCTGGCTCTCAGTGGGGACCATGAGTCTCCTCCTTCTATTTGGGGAGGCTCAGCAAACCTCCTCTTCCCAACACACCTTGTCACTGATCCAGTCCATCACATCCTCACACTCCCGCAGATACTGCACCAACTTTTGGGCCTGCAGAAGTTTGATCCCCTTCTCCCGCATCTTCTCCAAAAGCAATTCCCACTGGCGGTGCAGCTCCATCAAACGAGTCTAGGGGTTACAAACCAATTTTTAATTGGATTACAACTAAGTCTAATAGGATATGATGCCTTAATTAAGAGTTCTGACAAGCTAGAGCCAACCTCTTGTGCTCTGAATAAAAACTTTTTGAAGAGAATCTCTTTCTAAACAGAAAGGACATCATAAATTTAACTGAGAGTAGGAAAAGGTACATAACTCCTAATGACTTGGTCAGTCTTAAAGTACATGCTAATGTATTTTCATAGGTAGTTATTTTAGTTTACTTCATGGAAATCATTAAATTATAATAGTATCTTTATATTAATAATTGCTTAAAATTATTAATAATTATTAAAGTGAGAGGCCAGAAGACTACAAGGAACAAAACAATGAGGAATTAATGTGGAAATAGAGCAGAAATTGAAGGTTATATGATGAATTAATGGAAGTGAGAAGGGGAGAAAGAGGTTCAATAGACTCCTAAAGATTATGAGGCACAACAGGAAAATCTTAGCATAAAAACAGAAAACATAGGATCCAGAAATGTCATTAGTTATGAAAGGATTCTTGGCAGAAAATGGTTCGAATGGTCTCTAATGTCACAGTTGGTCAACACTATAGCTCAAGATAGGCTTATTTCAAACTTCATCCACATGGCAGCCACAGGGCCAAATGTATTCAGCTCCCAGCATCATTGAGTGTTCACAGCACAGGCCAAGTATGGACTTTAGGACTGGGGAAACTCTAATATGGATTCATGCATATTGCTGCATTTGTTACTCCCATCCAAACCTGGCACCTTGATCATGCCCATCCAAGATACTGGGAGTTTCTGTGAAACACTGAGAGGCAGAGGTAAACCAAACAAAAAGGTTTAAACATGAACAGAAACAGATTCTGGGATCCGCCCATCGTTGAGATGCCACTCCCAGCAAAAAAAACCTGAAAGCCAGGCAACAGTCAACATAGGTGGAGACTCCTAGAAAGGAGAAAGAATGTTTCACTGGCAAGAAAAAGCAGTGAGAAAAGTGCGTGCTCACACAGTTCTCTTCCTCATGTGGTGAGGATCATAAGCCATCACCCAGAAGGAAGTGAAAGGCATTCCACGGCAACCAACAGTAAGTCAATACTCCACCTACTCGGATGTGGGACCCAATGTGGGTGGCGGTGACTATGGGGCGCCATGCTGTCCGGTACGGTGTGAAAGTCTAAACCAGTGATAGATATGTTATATAGGACACAGACATAGCCCTTCATGCCACCCACCTTCCTCCATGCTAATGCTGTCTGCTATACTAAGCTGCTGACTTGTATGACAGATAAACTGTCCAAGAGGATCACCATGGGAACTGTGTGCATGAAAGTGAAGAACAATCATGAGCTCCCTGCTCAAGTTAAGAATGAGGCCACAGAGACCAAGGGAAAACCTCACCCTCAAGTCCATTGTCATTCTCACAAATTTTATTTTCACACACTCAAGTCACAACTCAGGCAAGGCGTGCTGCAATACTAGCATAATTTTCTCATCCCTAGCGGGTCTGACTTTATACATCCCATAGGTCAGAGAGAGCCCATCTGCACAGGCCTCCTATTGCCTGGGAGCATGAATGGGCAGAGGGAGGTGAACTGCAGAAAAACTGAGAGCAGACTGGGTGTAGAAGAAAGCCTGGTCCTGATCAGGTTATTTCTCAACAGGGGCATAAGTCAGAGCTGCAGCTTTCAGAAATGTGAGTGGCAGAAACATTAAGGAAAAAGCAGATGGGAACGAATACAGGTTCAGAGGAAAAAAAGCAATGAATTGTGACTGGAAAAAGAAAGGAGTAGACTTTTCAGTTGTCACCTATTAGCTATGAGACTTTGGGCAGGTTACTCAAAATTCTCTGATCCTCAATTTCTACCCTTCTGTGGTATGGAGACAATTGTCACCTTATAGGCTTTGAAAATTAGAGATTAGCAAAGTGTCTTGAGCTACTAACAGCTACTTAACATTAACAATATTAAATACTGCTTTAATAAGATTGCAAACAGGGCACAGGGTACTTTTACATGAATGAAATCAGCTTCTGAGTCTTCCCCCCAGATACTTGAAGCCAAATCACTTGGTCCCCTTCTGTAACCTAGTTATACTACTACAGACCAGCCCCATTCATTTGGAAAAACTTCTATCTCATAAATAAGAAGCAGCAGGCACCAGTGGCTCATGCCTGTAATCCTAGCTACTCAGGAGGCAGAGATCAGGAGGATTGTAGTTCAAAGGCAGCCCAGGCAAATAGTTTGTGAGACCCTACCTTGAAAAAACCCTTCACAAAAAAAGGCTGGTGGAGTGGCTCAAGGTGTAGACCCTGAGTTCAAGCCCCAGTACCGCAGAAAAAAAAAAAAAAAAGAAATAGGAAGCAGACTGATTTCATTTACTATAAGACTACATACAAAATAGTGGGGCCAGGTGCCAGTGGCTCATGCCCATAATCCTAGCTGCTCAAGAGGACTGCGGTATGAGGCCAGTGCCGGCAAAAAGCGAGATCCTATCTCAAAAATATCCAACACAAAAAAAGTACTTGCATAGAGCCTCAAGTGGTAGAGCACCTGCCTAGCAAGCGTGAGGTCCTGAGTTCAAACACCAGTATTGCAAAAAACAAAAACGTGGGAAAACTGGGCAGATAAATATTTGTATTAATTGTAATAATGTATTACATTACCAAAATAGGTTCAACATAATAGTTGTCATATGACAAATGCCACTCACTTTTACATCCTATTTACAATCATGAGTGGTAATAATAATTATTAATCATAAACTTAGAGCTAACTACAAATCTTCAATGACTGGGCAGCGAGGCAAGAGCACTTCAGAAACACCAAGAGTGAACAGGTAATCCTGTCAAGCAGGAGGGCTGGCCCTCAGTGGGACAAGGCTTTGGAGACAATAAGCCAAATAAAAGGCCCAGCACTGGAGGCTGAGGCAAAAGGATCATTGGAGATTACATAAGGAGACCCTATCTGAACCACAAAAGAACCGAACAAAACATAGCTAGATTTCCTATCTTTGAGAGACCAAAACCAAACAGCTATAAGTGTATCAAGGGTAGATAAAAGCAACAACTTATGAGAAACTCAATGTGATACTCATCAGAAAGAGATGTTTTCCCTTAATACTCTGGTATTAGAAATGTAAAACAAAGCAGAGAAAGATCAATTATTGTCCCAAGTTCAAGACAAGCCAGACCAGAGTTGGAGGATCCCTGACTCAAAGTTAGTCATATCACCACGTCACAGACCAACAAATGCCACCAATCATTCCTTAAAGCTGGACCTTAACTAGCTTGCTGTCTAGACCTCAGTGGCCCCATCCAAGGGCAAGCCCGAGATTCAGACAGGTAGTTTTCCCACAGAGAACTTTCTTTAGTGTCCGTGGTTATTATCTTAGCTTGTTCTACCACAAAGGTAACATTCCTCACTGTACACGCAAGTTTGAGTTGATATTCACGACTGTACACGCAAGTTTGAGTTGATATTCACGCTCAATCTAATCACAAACTGAGGACTTGCTAACTCTGGTAGACTACACAGATTCTTTAATCTCTAAGAAGCTGGAAAAGCCTATCTCTTTAGGACCCTAAATTGACATGCAAGCCTGAACCCACAATCCTCCTTCTACCATGTGAGGCCATTCCCACCAGGCACTATTCAAACTCACCCGGATGGTTTCAGATGCAAAATGCCCTTCTGAGATCATCAGGTTTCCAGTTTCATCCAACTTGACAATGGCTCCCGAGTTGGCCTGAACTTCAGCTTCAAAGGCTTGGTGTTTCTGGAGCTTTCCCTGGTGGAAGACACAAAGTGAGCCACCTGTGCCACCACCTAACACTCGTCTTATTCCCAACCCAGTGTTCCTCCTTCCTCAGTCACACTTCCTATATTTAGGGAAGCATTCATCAGCCATCTCACCCATTTCTCTACCTAGTCAGCCACTCAGACATGTGGACTGCATCAGTACTGCCCTCTGCAAGAGTGGCCTATGAGGACTGCCTACTTTGCAAATGGAAGATGAAAATATCTTAAATTTTATTCTTTCAGGAAATGAGCCTTTAAAAGGATATCTAATCCATTCTAGAAACACAGGACCATATTGCCAGTCTTCCTAATATACAGTATTTACCCTTAAACAGTCCACTCATACTCATACATTAATACTTTCTTCTTGCTTTAGAAGCCCTACTCTGAGCCTGCCTACATTACCTCCCAATCCTTTTACGGGGCCTCTCCCACAGTAAGGTACACTAGCAACAAGCAGGCACCATGTTGTGCACTCCTCCATACCACTTTTTGTCAAGACTGCGCCGGGAAGGGGTCTGAAGGGCACGGACTGCATCTTAACTATTGCTCATCATCTTCTCTTCTTATACTACATGGTGTAATAAAAGGACCCACAAGAGCAGCTACTGTTCCACTTGCTACCAAAACAGTTTTTTTTTAAAAAGTATTTTGCCAAAATCAATGTTAGGTAATAATTTTAAATACTATTAAAATTTAGGTTTGGGCCAGGTGTAGTGACAAACACATGTAATCCTAACACTTGGGAGGTTGAGGCAGGAGAATTTTGAGTTCAAAGTCAGCCTGGACTACATAGAGTTCAAAGCCAGTCTGGGTTACATACCGACTTTGCAGTTTTTTTTGAGACAGTGTCTCACTATGTAGCCCAGCTGTCTTTGAACTCTCAACCCTCCTCCTGCCTCAGCCTCCCAAGTGCTGAGACTGGGGTTACAGGTATGCATCATCATGCCTGGTTTAAGGCTTTGCTTTTGGTAAGACTTACCAATGGGTCTTACAGAGACCCTGAAAGGGACTTATAACCAAATTTTTGCCAGTAACAACAATGCTAGAATCCCTTTCTCAAAAATCACAGTCCAAAATTAACCATGTTTCCTCAAAAAAGTGATTTCAAGGCAATGGTTTGAGAACCATGTGTACAAAGCATGCAGAAAAGAAAAAGTGATACCCCTAAGAACCTACATTCACCCACACTTACTTATCCACTTAAAAGTTTTTCCTTGAGGCTAGTGGAATGGTTCAAGTGGTAGGGTGCCTGCCCAGAAAGCGTGAGGCCCTTGAGTTCAAACCCCAGGGCCACCAAAAATAAAAGTCCTTCTTTATGTGTTTAACATTCTCAACCTTTAAAAAAATTTCTTTTGGTGGTGATGGTGGCCCTGGGAATAGAGTTCAGGGTCTCCTACTCATACTTGCTAGGCAGGCACTCTACCATTTGTGTCAGGATCCCAGCCCTATTTTGCTTTACTTATTTTTCAGGTAGATTTTGAGTATTCTTCCCAGGCCAGTCCTGGACTACAATCCTATCTATGCTTTCCTCATAGCTGGGATTACAGATGTGTACCACCATGTCTGACTTATTTGTTAAGAGGAGTTTTGCTTTTTTTCCCCCAGGCTAGCCTAGAATGTAGATCCTCCTTGTTGCTGGGATTATAGGCATGTGCTCAGCCCTCTGATCTATATTCTTCTTGCTGCCAAATCTTTTTCTTTGTCTCCTTTGAGGCAAGAACATTTGGGCTCCTGTATTTTGGCAGGCATCTCAGAGAGATCAGATACACCTGCAAGTTGGTTGGGTCTTTATAATTCTCATCAGATGCAATCTGAAGTTTCTCCTGAATCCACTTCTCCAGCTCCTCAGCATCTCTTTGGAAAAACTGGAAGCGATAAGAATCTTCCAGCTTCTGACGCCGCAGAGTTGAGAGCTCCTTGAAGCGGTGGTATCGATCCAGGACCTGCTGCCGCCTCTCCTGGATGTCCTCTGCTGTTTCCAGCACCTTGACCCCACTTGGGTCCATTTTCTGAAAAGACAAATGCCCTGAGATGAGCACCATAACATACCAAGATAGACTCAGAGGAATCAGGCTTTCAGAAGGAAACATTATCAAGAAAGCCCCAGTAGACAAATGAACTGAGAAGATGGCCTCCTCTAAGGTTAAAAACAACAACAACAACAACAAAAAACCCTTTATGAAAAACAACTATTCATTCCCCACAACACCTACCTACCTGCCTGGGCCCCTCAGAGAATGCCCAGACAACTTGGCAATGAAACCAAATTAAAAAGACGAATGGAAGCACTGTGTTTATATTGCCAATTCCACAAGGGCTTTAAGGATTCAAAGAAAATACCAATGTTGGTACTCAGAGAATTTCTGATAGGTCCATTCAAAAGTCCATTCATCTGGTCTCTGCATTTCATTGTGCAGAGATTAGAATGAATCTGATCTCATTTAAATCACCTTTTCTGTCTTTCCAGAACTCAGCCTGGTGAGTGATGAAAGGAGTGATTATGAAATAACAGAGTACTTTACCAAGAACCAACAGAACTTATATAGTCAAAGCAGGTGATTTCTCAGTTACTCTAAAATGTAACCCTACAAGCCAGGCACTGCTGGCTCACACCTGAAATTCTAGCTACTTGGGAGGCTGAGATAGGGAGTATCAAGGTCAGCCAGGGCAAATAGTTCTAGAGAACCCATCTCCAAAAAAAAAAAAAGAGAGCAAAATGGATTGGAGGTGTGGCTCAAGTGGTAGAGCAGATGTCTGCTTTGCAAATGCGAAGCCGAGTTCAAACCCTAGTCCCACATAAAAAAAAAAAAACAAAAAAAAAAAACACAACAACTACAAGTCACCTTCAGACTGTCAGACAGCCTATGCAATGAACAGGCCCAGTTCTACCAGAATGTATGCAATTAAAAGAAAACCAAATCCCAGTGTGTTTAAGAGGGAGAAAAAGGTGTACTAAAAATCTACCTTGCTGGGCACTAGAGGCTCACACTTGTAATCTTAGCTACTCAGGAGGCAAAGATCAGCAGGATCTCGGTTCGAAGCCAGCCCAGACAAATAGTTCTCAAGACCTACTGTGAAAAAAACTCATCACAAAAAAGGGTTGGTGGAGTGGTTCAAGGTGTAGGCTCTGAGTTCAAATCCCAGTACCGCCAAAAAAAAAAAAAAACAATGACAAAACAGAAAACAACACTGGGGCCAGTGAATCCTTGTTATTCAGGAGGCAAATATCTGGAGGACAGAGGTTCAAAGCCAGCCCAGGCAAATAGTTCAAGAGACCCTATCTCTAAAAAAAACTCATCACAAAAAAGGGATGGTGGAGTAGCTCAAGTGGTACCTGCCTAGCAAGTGTGGCCTGGAGTTCAGATCCCAGTACCACTAAAAAAAAACAAAACAAAAAACCCCAAATCATTTTATCCTCTAATCAATTAAGGACCACAGAAGTGTACAAATTAATGACAAAAACTTCTAAGTTTGTTAATAACATATGACCTCACACAAGCCATCTTCTCTACTACACCTGTTTCCTGGGGTAGCTAACAACGGCAGGTGAATACAACATAATCTCAAGGCCCTCTTATTTTAAAATAACAGTCTATAGCTGTGTGTGGTGTTGCATGCCTGTAATCTCAGCACTGAAGCAGGAGGACTGAGAAGTCGAGGCCAGTATGGGCTACATAGCGATTTCCAGGTCAGCAAGATCCTGTCTTAAAAAAAGCAAAAAATTATAGTCTACAGAGGAGATTCTGGGTTTGGTAAAAAGCAAAATAGATAAAACATTATAATCCCTTCCAGTTATGCTCTATCGTGTGTAAAAGATACAAAACAGATGGATGCCAAGGGCTCAAGCCTGTAATCCTATCTACTTAGGATGATAATAGTTCAAGGGCAGCCCAGAGAAATGGTTCAAGAGACACCCCTACACACACACCCAATCTCCAAAACAGCCAGAGCAAAATGGACTGAAGTGTGACTCAGTGGTAGAATGCCTGCTAGGCAGGTGTAAAGCTCTGAGTTCAAACCCCAGTCCCACCACCACCTCCCAAAAAAGGTATTAAAAATTGTTACCCAGGGAATACATGGGCTAGGGCTCTTCCCCACAGCTAACGGAACCAGAAGTGTAAGTAGGCTGAGGAAAGAGATGAAGTCAGGGGGTGTGCTACCCACATTCTGCCAGGAGGTAACAGCACTGTGAGATCTGGTGAAAGCCATGTGCGCCTGATCAGCTTTCAGGACCACTTTTCAATGAAGTGGTAATTTTAACAGGGCAGATGCCATGAGGTGATTTTAGCCACATCATGCCTTCCAAATTATACTCCATATATTCACCAGTTTTGCTATAGTATTTTTTTTCAGTCTCTTTTTTAACTATAAAAAGAACTTTTAATTTTTTTTTTAATCCCAAAGCTTCAAGGCTCCCTGCTGACAGAGAATTCACCTCTTTTATTTTTTTTAATTTTATTTTTTGGTGGTTCTAGGGTTTCAACTCAAGGCCTCAAGTTTGCTAGGCAGGTGCTCTACCACTTGAGCCACTCTACCAGCCCTTTTTTGTGTTGGGTTTTTTCGAGATAGGGTCTTGTGAACTATTTGCCTGAGCTGGCTTCAAACTGTGATCCTCCTGATCTCTGCCTCCTGAATAGCTAGGATTATAGGCATGAGCCACTGGTGACTTCAATTCTTTATTCAGCAGGACCATCACCAGCTGGCCCAATACACCTGCCTGGTATCATCTCATCCATACCCCCTTATCCTCTTAGCACATTCTTTCTTCTCTAAAGTACATCATGAGTTCCTGTAAAACTCCAAGCCATTTGCACATGATTCTTTTTCCTGAATGCCCCAGGTCTTTTCTGCTAGGTAACTCCTATTTAAATCCTCAACACTCAAGTGAAGTGAGTCAACTGCAGGACACTACATCCCTGCTAAGCTGTACTCCATGCTCTTTCTTTCCCTTCTTTTCTGATGCATTCACACTTTTCTGTAGATTACAGAGCACTTTATCTACTTCCCACTGGATGACTAGCCTGGGCTTGTAGCCCAGACTTCTTGTAGCCCTGATTTCTGGCATACAGAGGTCATTAGAAATGCTGCTGTTGCCAGATGCCAGTGGCTCAAGCCTGCAATCCTGGCTACTCAGGAGGCAGAGATCAGGAAAATCACAGTTCGAAGTTAGCACGGGCAAATAGTTCAAGAGACCCTATCTCGAAAATATCCAGCACACTGCAAGCACTGAAGCCCTGGGTTCAAACTCCAGTCCGAAAGAAATAGAGAGAAAAAAAAAAAAATCCAGCATAGCTGGGTGATGGTGGCAAAGTTTTTAAGACCCTATCTCGAAAATTCCCAGCATAAGAAAGGGCTGGTGGAGTGGCTCAAGTGGTAGAACGCCTGCCTAGCAAGAACAAGGTCCTAAGTTCAAACCCCATACTGAAAAAAAAAATGCTGTTGAGTAATGATCAAGTACATGTTGAGAGTTACAGCTGCTAGTAGAAGCTCAACAATGACTTTCATTTTCCATATTATAAAACTAGAATTCGAGAATTCTATCCAGGTAAATGCTAAATTCTTGACAAGAATGGCAAACAAGGATGTGCTGACTAAAGCTACATAACTAGGTGTTGCCCTAATGAATAACACTGAATTAGGGATCTTAGATGGACACTCTGGCATGTTCCCTGAGAAAGCAGCTGCTCTCTTCAAAAAAATGACATGAGCTGGGCGCCAGTGGTTCACACTTGTAATCCTAGCCATGCAAGAGGAAGAGATCAGGAGGATCACGAAGCTAGCCTGGGCAAATAGTTTCACAAGACCTTATCTCGAAAAAACCCTTCACAAGAAAAGGGCTGAAGTGACTTAAGGTGAAGGCCCTGAGTTCAAACCCCAGTATCTCAGCGAGGGCGGGGGGAAGGTGGCAAATCATCAGAAAATGATGTTATCTACTTCAATTGCTGACAAAATGTTCTCATAAAGAAATGTGCCAGGTAAGGAATCACTACATGGCACATGATGTCCTGAAAGATGTCCAAGTCTTCAGTATTGAAGTGTATGGTGTTTGTCCTATCTCCTGTAACAGGGTTTACTACATTTCTAAATTGTGTTACCTGCTCTACACTGGGGGGGTGAGGGAGAGGAGGATGTAACTCAATGTAACTCAGTGGTAGAGCACTTGCCTAGCAAAGCCCTGGGCTTGGTCCTTAGTACCACACCCATACCCAGTCCTCAGCAACACAGACACACACACAGACACACACACACACACACACACACACCACACCCATACCCAGTCCTCAGCAACACAGACACACACAGACACACACAGACACAGACACACAGACACACAGACACACACACACACACACACACACACCCCCGAGAAAACAGACAAGGAAATCACATTTAGGAGCAACCCTCTCTGCTTGGGAGGGGTGGGCAGAAGCTCCATCTTAGTATTGAAAAGGTTCCTGCTGAGCAAGTCTCCCCTCATGGGCCTAGCTTACTGACTAGAACCTACCAATCCAGGAAGACAGTTCAGTGAGGCCCTGCTGAAATTAACCAACCTAAAAGGCTGGCTTTGTCGCCCCAGTGAAGTAGAACAAGTCAATTCTATACCAAGTGCTTTGGTCAGGCAATAATGGACTTTTCTTTCCTGCAGTAAATTGGCTGACGTCAGTAGGTGGGAACTCTGCCAAGTACAACTGTCTCTGGGGAGCCGGACATCTGAAAGTCACTAATGTGCTCCCACTGCAGACAGCATTCAGACTTTCTTTTGTGTGATTATAGGAAACAACAAAAAAGATTATGGATTAATAAGGTTTCCCCTCTTAACCTGATGGGGAGCTGTCTCTAGTTTATCTGTAAGATCCCAGTTTCTTTTTGTTCCTAAAAGTGTCATTTCCACAGACAACATTAAACATAAGGAATTTTTCATAAATATAACCAAGAAATACTGCCACCAAAGGTGCTACAACTTCTCACCCAAAACTACAGTCACAGAGTTACTGGAATTTCTGGAACC